GTCAATAGATTATCATTCTGAAAGTGTTTTAAGCAATTGGAATATTTCTCAAAACTTTTTATGTCTTCTTGAGTATCAATTTTTTTTTAATCCCTGATAAGGCCAGACCAATTTGATTCTCTGTTTAACATACCCCCCACCTATTTTTTCAATTTTTAGGTAAAAAATACTCATATAATTTAGGCCAGAACTAAAAAATTTTTATAATTTTGGCCAGAATTATATTTTTGTGTATTTTATTTAGTATTCTAGCCAATCATATGCAGTCCCCCCCAGATTTTGACTTGAATGTTATGTTAAACAGAGAATCAAATTGGTCTGGCCTAATAAGATTGCATCGAAAATAATGGACTACCATTTATTGTGGATAAAAAATCAAATGAATACTTAAATATCTAAATAGACGCGTCAATAATTGTTGAATTATCATCTGGGTTTTTTAAATTAATCCAATAATTTATCATTTCTTCAAATAAATTATTCATTAACTACAGTTTTTTTAGAATTACATGCTGTCCTCATAGCTCGAGTAAAAAGTTGACGATTAAATTTCCAAGAATTATAATCAAAATTGAATGCAACTCCTTTGGTACTAAGATCAAAAAAAATCCAAAAGTCTATTATTCTTAGTCCTCATTAAATGTTTCGTATGTTTCGTATGATCACCATGTTCCGGTAACATAAATCTACTCACATATTCTGCACGATTAATCATTATATACCTAATACCAGTCATATTAAATTCAAAAATTCTATCTTGTCCATATTTCTCTATATTAGTACTACTATTAAGAATTTCCAATCAAAGGAATTTGGTAATGGACCAGATAATGGATTTGGACGAGTAAAATGATTAATCATTATATACCTAATACCAGTCATATTAAATTCAAAAATTCCATCTTGTCCATTTTTCTCTATATTAGTACTACTATTAAAAATTTCCAATCAAAGGAATTTGATAATGGACCAGATAATGGATTTGGACGAGTAAAATGTTTGTAGGATTAATCTAGATCTAGCATGGGTGCGATTCTCTTATTTATCGCGCTTTATTGGCTAATTTTGCGCTATGCGATACTCTTATTTGTCACCCACCAATCAAATTTCAAGATCAGGTGTAACGTAAAAAAAATGGCGAAAACCTCCAATAGCTCAAAAACTTTACATAAGATACATCCTTTCGTGTTCTAACTAAAAAAATTCCTTGCAAAATTTGATATAAACTATGCCCACTAATTCTGACTAAATCGAATTAAAAACGTTTTGTTTTAATTTTACGTTACACCTGGATTATGATTTACTATAGGTGTGCGAGATATGTGTGTAGCATGGTGTGATACATACATTTATTCTAATTTTAATACTTTTTTTTAGACCTTTTTTAATTATGAACTTAGATCCCTATTGTTTTGGCTCAAAATAGATCTAAATAAATAATAATAATAATTCCATGTCTCTACGTCAAACCCTTCTACAGAATTCTTTAATAAAATATTTCAAAACTTCACGTGAGCAAGTTAGTATAGTTATACTTGTTGGCAAAATGCCAAAACCTGGACAAATTCCAAAAAACAATTGCTAATTATAAAAAATTGAATGAAAAAAATAATCTCCAATATATGATATACAAGTATAAGAATATATGAAATAAGTTTGAATAAAGATTATTAATAAAATTTTTGAGATATGAGTTTTGCCAGAGTTTGGGATTTTGCCACGGACAAACCCAAACTATAATAGTTTGGGATTTTGCCAACAAGTATAATTACAGTAGATTATTAAAAAGATCAATCGTTTAACGAACTAATGAGTATTTTCTTGCTGATCAGTTAATTACCCTACTCAGACTCTCGGGATTTTTTTTTTAATATTTAATAGTAAATATGTGGAGGGAAGTCAATAGAAAAGGGATAAATTTTTAGGTTATAATATATGAAATTCTACAGTACAGTATATAAAAAATTTACTTGGCTATCATTAACAGTTAACATCTAACTCGAGATTCATTTTTCCTACCATAATACAATATCTTGGGCTGTAAATATTTGACGAAACATCTTTTGATTTTATTTCATTTTCGCTTAAAATTCTCTTGAGCTGGGAACTTTACGCCAAAATTTGCTACTAATAAATTTTTTCTGTACTCATCATCCTACACGTGACACGTAATTTAACTGCGCCCATATAGCAAAGTAAAAATTTAACGTTAAGAAAAAAAAAAAGATTTTCCTATGCACGAAATTTTTTTCTTCTCCCCCCAAAAAAAAAAAAAAAAATAATAATAATTAACAAATTGTCTTCAATCACTTTTTTTTCAATAGGTCGACTTATTCACAAGTCAATACCTCTTGTGATCTATCAACGTTCTTTGAATTTTCGTGTATCTCTTCAAAAAATAATTTTTACCAAATTCTCCACTACTCCATCTGCAAATATGAAATCTTATATACAAATAATTGGTAGTGGAACTTTTGATGTACCACCTTCAATAATGGTACATTTTGATGGCCATAATAGTCAGAGATATTTATTTAATTGTGGTGAAGGAACCCAAAGATTTTGGTTACAAAATAAATTAAAAACTTCCAAGTTGAAAAATATTTTTTTGACTAGAGTTAACTGGAATTGTTTCGGTGGACTTCCAGGTATAAAATTTTTATTAACTTTTAAATTTTATTTAATCAAATTATTATATTATTTAATGTTCTTTTTTTTTATTAGGTATGCTGCTTACGACAGCGGATGCAGGCTCCAAAGAAATTAAATTATATGGTGGCCCAAATTTGACGCATGCGATAACTGCGACTAGAGGTTTTATTTTGAGGCAAATTGCTAAGACATATGTTACCATTTTAGAAATAAATTTTTTTCCATGAATTAATATAATGTTTAATAAAATAGATCAACCATGTCTGTGGAGACTCATGAATTTCAAGAAGATGGGATGATGTTCAAGGATGATAATTTGACCATACATCCAATATTTATTAATCCAGAAGAATTTAATAATAATATTTCAACTTCATCTTTACAAAAGAGTGTTGGCGTACCATCCAAACGCGCAAATGATTTTACACTTGACAATGTCGATACTTCATCTTTGCAATATAAGAAAGGAGTTCTGTCTTTGATGTTTAATCAAACTCATCAGACTTCTAATTATAAAGTACATGAGAAAAAAAAATCAAAAACATTTGAAGATAATTTTGCATTAGACATTCCTGATGAAGTATCAAAAGAACATTCTTCATCTCCTAAAGATGATATAGATTCTTTAATTCTGCAACGTAGAAAATTGTTTCCAAAGAGATTACCAAAATCAAATCCTTCAGCAACATCTATTGCTTATATTTGTATAGGTCCAAAATATAAAGGAAAATTTGATCCTGCTGCTGCTAAAGCCCTTGGTTTAAAGCCTGGACCTCAATATGGTATGGTACTATTTGCTTGCTTCTTAAAATTATATTTATTTATAATATTCTAACTTTATGTTATTTATTAGCTGCTTTAGTGAATGGAGAATCTGTGACTGCTCCGGATGGAACAATTATTCATCCAAACCAAGTTTTGGGTCCTTCTCGAGCCGGCACGGTAGAATATTATATTATTTATAATAATATTTTTATCCCTATCAATATTTTTTAATGCCTGCATTATCGTATTTTAGATATTTATTGTTGTAGATGTTCCTTCTACATCTTACATACCTCCAGTATGTGCATCTCTAGAGTTTGCTACATATCAAACCGATAATAAAGATTTACAGCCTCGAATTATAATTCATATGCTTGGCGATGGCGTTCTGGAAAATGAGAAATATCAAACATGGATGAAAAAATTTGGCCCAAATACTGAGGTAATAATATTTTCTGTCTTTAAAATTTTACGATTTATTATATTTTATTATATTTATATATCGATTTTATTTTTTGAATTATATTAGCATGTTATCATGAATGAACAATATTGTCCGCAAAGAATAATATTTAATAGTACAGCTGAAAGTCAATTAAAATTATCAAAGATTGATGAAAAACAATACCGTATACCTTATTATTCAAATAAACCTGAAAAGCTATTAGATTCAAGTAAGATAATATCATAAATCGTTTTTTTATATCTCTTATTACTCGATTTTGACTATTTTTTTTTTTTTCAGTATCCAATATTCCAAAGAAAACACGTTTCGCTGATCCATTATTAACCCTTCATATGGAACCTTCATTTAATATCGATTATTCTAATATACCTGAATTATTTGATCATAATAACGAAAATTTACGAGCATTAAAGGAATTAAATCAAAATGTTGAATATCTTAAAGTTGCATCACAAGTACAAGAAGAAGTTGCTGAAGCCAAACCTGAAGGAATGAATATTCCTGGGAATAATGTTATTGTTACAACTCTTGGTACCGGTTCAACTCTACCTTCAAAATACAGAAATGGTAATTATTTTTTTTTTTTATTTATAAGTTTAATTTACTTTTTATATAACAAATGTTTAATAATTCTTGACAAATTAGTAAGTTCAACACTTCTCAATATACCAAATAATGGTTGCATTCTACTCGATGCTGGAGAAGGTACACTCGGTACATTATTAAGACATTTTGGCCCATTTGATAAACCTCGTGAAGGGCAAATTAGCATAGAAGAATTTTTTGGTAGTTTGAAATGCATTTTTATATCACACATGCATGCGGATCATCATTTAGGCATAGTAGGAATTTTATCAAAATGGAGTGAGGTATTATATAAATTCTTTAATTCTATTACTATTCAATTATTACATAAAATTAATAATATATTGCATCAATTCTGACAAGATTAGTTACAGAGTGATTCAAATACTTTTATCCATATTGTCGGACCACCGAAATTATGGAAATGGCTTAGTGAATTCAGTGATGTTCAAGACTTTGGATTTTCAAGAGTAAAGTTTATAGATAATCGCGATGTTTTACATTTACAAAAACAAAATTCATCTCCTAAAAATATTTCAAACAGGTATTCATGTTTATAATATTAAAATATTAATAGATTGTTGAACAAATATTTATAAATAAATATTTACAATTAATTAATTTTAGTTTAAAATCATTAAAAGAATCCATAAATCTCAAAAGCTTTGAAACCGTAGAAGTTATTCATTGTCAATTTGCCTATGGAGTAAGCATTGAACATTTAGATGGTTGGAAAATTGTGTAAGTATATAATAAACCTTTTTTCATCAATTGAAAATAAATTAATTTGTAATTATCTACTTAAAGATATTCTGGTGACACACGCCCATGTGATGATCTCGTGAATGTAGGAAAAGATGCTACTCTTTTACTTCATGAGGCAACATTTGAGAATGATTTACTTGAAGAAGCTTTGAATAAAAAACATAGTACAACTGAAGAAGCTGTAAAAATTGGTGAACGGTAATTAATATTTCTCTTGTGAATATCAAAGATTCATATTTGAAATACACTAACATTGAATAATTATTATTATTTTGTGTAGAATGAATGCACATTCAATCTTATTAACTCATTTTAGTCAAAGGTACCCTAAAGTACCCGTGTTCACGGATGATCATGGCAAAGTTGGGATTAGTTTTGATTTTATGCAAGTTAGTATTGGTGAATTATATAAATTGCCGAAATATGCTAAGGCTATTAAGTTATTATACTGTGAAGATAGTGAAGAGGCCAAGGATTCTAAAGATGATGATGATTGGATGCAAACATAAACTCATTATATAATCATTAATACGTCTTACTATGTGAAAATTTACTTGTTTAAAAACAAATAAACTAGAATTGTTATATAAAATTCATGCATTACTTAACATTGCTGCGTTGCTTAAGTTTATCATAGAATTGTGATAATGCATTATTGGGATATTCTCACTTTATAGACAAACGCTTCAATTAATTCATTGAAAAGCTTACAAGTTTATTTCCCAAATAAATATTGCCATTTCCATAACCCGCCTTTTGAATATTTAATATTTGTTCATTAATAAACTTTAAAGTCCCGTCGAAGCTCAGACATTACGAAATCTCTTAACTTGATCCACCTCTATATCATATTATTTAGTATTAAAAAATTGATATTCTCACTAGATATGAAAAGGTCAGATTCAACCTTCAAGACCTCACAATTAACAATCATGATGGATCCGTATCATTTCACCGACAATCGCTTCGCAATCAATTATCGCTGTTTTCAAATTACTGTGTCTATAAATGATCTCACGGAAATCTTAAAATTCCCTAATTTTAGCACTTTTTTTGTGAATAAATCTAATTATCTTGCTCACAAATAAAGATTCCTCTTCAATTCTCACTTTTTGAATACTGTGTCAAATAATGTATGAAAAAAAATTGTTGGTTTCGCTAAATATAGTTGGGAATTTCGGGATTTTTTTTCTACTAAACCATAAAAAAAATTTTTTTTTAAAAAAAAATAAATAAATAAATAAATAATTTTACAAAGGAGCATCTTTATATTTAAAACTATAAGTTATAAAAAATTTTACTTGAACTTCCTAGATCCATAGCGAAGATATCAAGTGGCGTATTGTCTACTTTACTATTAAAAAAAACTATTATTTTCTCTATTAAACTAAGCAATTGTTGTTAAGGCTGTTTGAATTTAAAACTTCGTTTATTTTTTTATGTTTGTACAAGAGAAAAGGGCAGTGAAAAATTAAACGAGGTTCAAATCCTAATTAGGTTCACGTGATCCTAAATTTGGTTAAACTACCTCTAACTTTCCGATTCCCAGATTCCCAGTTAGAGATGGGCAAGTCAGTTACATATTATTACTTAATATTACTTAATATTACTGTGAAATAGGTAATAATAAGTAATTTTACAATAATTTGATTCTTGGCAGCAATTTTTCGTTCAATCTCAATTTTGATCATTCGCCTCCGACTGTTACCATGTGTTTTATATGTATACATAATAAGTAATATGATAGAATATAATAAATATTTAATATTATTTAATATTAAGTAAGGGATAAGTCATAGGTCATTATTACTTACAAAATTACTTTGCC